AATCAATCAATCAATCAATCAATCAATCAATCAATCAATCAATCAATCAATCAATCAATCAATCAATCAATCAATCAATCAATCAATCAATCAATCATGAAGGACTAACCTAGCTACCATCTTCTCTTCATCCCATAAATGTTTGTTTCTGTTTCTTTAATCAAATCCTGGCATCAAACTCAGAGTCGTCTAAAGTTTTCTGTGAAATCTTCTCATCGTCTCGTTCAGTTTTATGCTCAGAGGAAAACTTGTTTTTCTGAATCAAATCTTTTTGCTGATGATGTTTTGTTTCCATCAGGACCTGGAAGAAGCTCTGCCTCTTTTTTACAGCCACAGAGAACGACTGGTCGCCATCGGAGAGGTGAACCCCGCTCTGATGTCACTCTGATGTCACTCTGATGTCACTCTGATGTCACTCTGATGTCACTCTGTTCTCCGACTAGTTTAATAGGAAAAGGCCCATATTTTACTTTAAGTCTTTTAAAGATAATGACTTTGGTCTCTGGTGATTAGCCATTTATCCATATGATTTTTCTAGAAGTGTGATGGATTGAAATTTGGTTATTTCAGAGGCTGACTAGTCTGATGCAGTGGTCCGATTGAACCAGCAGGGGGAGTCTTCCTCCTCAGAAAGCCGCTGGAGCAGAAGCACCGTGTCCGGCTCCTTATTACACTTCTGCCCTTCTTCAGGGCTTTTACAGAAGGAGCTACTCTAAACTTCATCCTCTAATCATCGTCTGTAAAATTAATATTTCCAGGACCAAAAACAGGAAGTTTTGTCTTTTGTTCCTGAAGTTGGAAGAGGTTCTGGTCCGTGTCCTGTTTGGTTCTGGAGATAAACTTGTTCTGGTCCGAGGTTCTGACAGAAATGTGAAGCAGAGCGTCATCAGCGTCCGCAGTGATCCGGAGAAGATTTTAATTGAGTCCAGATAGTTTTGGGAAAACATTTATTCCTGACCTAATTTCTTATTCTGACATAAAAGTTACTGATCAGGAATGTTTTAGTTTTCCGGATCAGGAATGATTTAGTTTTCCGGATCAGGAATGATTTAGTTTTCCGGATCAGGAATGTTTTAGTTTTCCGGAGCAGGAATGTTTCAGTTTCCTGCTCTGGCTCCAGATCGGGTTGGATTTCACGCCGTGGTGCGCTCCGACCCAGCAGGACAGAGACGACCAGATGAAGGTCTTCATCAGACAGCTGGACGTCGCCATGGAGATGGACCTACCTGTGTGAGCTCAGCTAACTGATGACATCATCACTCCATAAAAGGTCGCTCATCGCTTTAGTCTAACCGGGCCAATGATCGGCTGTCTCTACAGGAACGTCCACTCCCGCTCTGCAGCCAAAGTCACCATAGACACCATGAGACGGCGAGGTGAGTGTCTCTGTCCCCCTTCAGGACAGATGTCTGCGGACGCAGGGAGATGTCCGTCCTCTCACTCCGTCTCCCTGCAGGGATCAGCAGAGCTCTGCTGCATAACTTCTCTGGGAAGCCGGCGGCAGCTATGGAGGCTGTGGAGGCCGGATTCTTCTTCTCCTTCCCTCCTGCTGTCTGCAGGAACCAGCAGGTGAGACGGGTCACCATGTCCACCAACATCTGGTGGACAGGAAAAGTTCTACCTTGTACCATGGAGGTCCACAGATCCAAACCAAAATGAAATGTTGTGGACATGAGCTGCCCAATAATACAGTTGGAAGTTTGGAAATGACAATCCGCCGCTGAATTTTCATGTATGAAGTGTGGATTTGTGGACCTGTGGGTGGTTTTCCACGCCGTAGGAAGCAGAGCTGACTTGATCCAACGTTTTGAAAAAATGCTTTGGCAGAAAAAGTGGGAGACAGTTGAACAAGAATAGGAATTTGGGTAAAATGTTCATTTTAAATGAATTAATTCTACCGATAAGCAAGAGAGGTAAATTATTCCGTCTCTGGAGGTCCAAATTAATTTCAGAAATTAAAGGCAAAAGATTAGCTGTGAAAGAGCTTAAAGGTGTGAAAACTTCAGCATTCACTTTTAGCAATAGTTACTCTGAAAAGGTTCCAAATCTCTGAAAAGCAGATAAAATTGACCCTTTAATCATCGAATCCACCCTTTGGTTCTCCGTTCTCCCTGAAATGTTTCAGGTTTTCAGAACCAGAAATTCTGTTTCTTTAGCATCAGAATAACTGAGATGTTTCCTTCACTGAGAAGCAGTCGGAGTAAACGGCTTGGCTCCAGCGAGTGACCAGATGTTGACGTTCTGACAGAGAGACCGGCTGATCCAGCGGATCCCTCTGGATCACATCTGCCTGGAGACGGACGCTCCGGCCCTCGGCCTCCACAGGAATGTGAGTCAGTCGGCGCCGTCCCTCAGGGACAGACGCTGAGACGACCGTCCTCCTTCTGTCCCCGTCTGCTTGACAGGAGAGGAACGAGCCGGCTAACATCGCCCTGTCCTGCAGCTACATTGCTAAGGTCAAAGGTCAGACACCAGAAACGGTCCGGGAGGTCACGACTCAGAATGCCTACAGGCTGTTCAGCAGAGCCAGCAGATAATCAGAGTAAATATCATAATACACTTATTAAATAACTTTGTTTTTATTTATCATTTAGCCCAGGGGGTCCAAAGTGGGTCCTGGAGGCCCGGCGACCTGCATGTTCTAGTTCTCCCCCTAGTGGTGGTAACAACCTTTTCAGCAGGTCAATGTCCTGCTTAGGCCTCTAATGAGCCACCATTTGATGCAGGTGTGTTAAAAACCAGGGAGAGAATAAAACATGCAGGATGCCGGCCCTCCAGGACCCACTTTGGACCCCCCTGATTTAGCCAAAAAGCTGGAAAACTTTCATCTGAGACGGAACAAAAGTTGATTAAAAATGTTTCCTGAGATAAAGTTCAGTTTCCATCTCTGTTTTAACTTATTTTTTAATTTTCTTTCATTTCCAGCAAACCCTGAGGAACACCATGCTGCTCAGCGTGGATTTCATTTCAGTTTTAATACATGTAGAAATATCATTTCTTTATGCGCTAGGTGGACTTTACAGAAGCAGTCTTCAGTCAGAGGCCTCTTTGGATTGCTTACACGACTGACTGCTACAGGAGATCCTGGGTTCTGGTCGTTCTGTTTGCACCAAGTGGCATTTATCTGAAAATGAAGCAAAGGAAAAATAAACAGAGGAATAGGTGACATGTTTTTTCCATTCTTATTGTTAAAACTGATGAGCAGGAAATTAAATTCTAAATAACTTCAAATAAACACGTTTAAAAATTATTAGAAATGTGAAGTTTGTTAAAATTGGTTTGTTTATTCTTCAAACTCATTTTGCTTAGTCAATAAGTCATTTTCTCCAGACCTATATTTGAGATAAAAATTATTTTGCCAGTTAGTGGTTGCCATAGTAACCAGTAACCACTTGTTGCTATCTGTAACTGTATTATGTATCAGGATTAGCTTTGTGTTTTGTTACAAGTATTATACAAAGTATTATATTTTGACATATTTTAGACATTTAATTTCAGGGTTTCATGGGTAATTTCGCCTTGTTTTGTAAAAGTTTTTAACTTCACTGGGTTGGTTTCTGGTGAGCAAATCCAATAACCAATAAAGTAACGGATTGTGTGTCATCTTATTCAAACTTCACTGTCTGTGGTTCTGCCTGCACATGAAACTCCTTACAGCTCTGGTCGAAGTGCTTCCGCTCCGGTAGTTTCACCGGGAGCCGCCATTGGATGCAGGCCGCCCTGCGCTGCTGTCCGCCGGTCAGCGCGTTCAGCAGCGCCCCGCTGGTCCTCAGGTGGTTCCGGTAGTGCCTCCGCTCGGCCCGCTCCCAGAACTCCCGGGGGTCTGATTCCACCCGACACCAGGTCTCCGCCCGCATGTTCGGCTCCAGCAGAACCCGCTCCCCCTCAGACCCGGACATCTTTCCTTCCCCGTGTCCGGTATTAAATAAATAATCCCCAATGGTTCAGTTTGTGTAACTGCGTTGGCATGGCAACGGGAGACGTCGTCCTGTTCCTAGCGTTCCAAAGATCATTCATGCAGAAAGATGTTCTACTCCGAAGATTTTTTTCGCTGTGACGTTTCCACAGCAGCCGCCCGCTTCCTTATTTTATTCGTACGATGAGTCACTCAGGCTTAAATAAAACAACGGAGCAGTTCCGCTTTTAATTTGATGTATGATCATCATGAATTCGTACGGTTGTTAATTTTTTATTCAACAATATACTTTTCATAAGTTTTAGCCAATTCTATCACTCTGATGTATTTTACACATGGACAACTGTTTTCTGTTCTGTTGATCTGAAAAATAAAAAATGCAGCGCCAACTTTTAAAAAAAAAGTTAATTACATGTGATCAAATTAAGTTTTTCAAAACATAATTTATCTACGTTTTAACATGACAACTTAATAAACTTAATATATTTACTTGGATAAATTTAATTTGATTAGTTCTAACAAATTAACTCGTTTTTTAAGTTGGATCACCTGTTTCCTTTTTCAGTGTATGATGGGAAAAGAACGGACCTCAAACCAACTCGTACCTCACCCACTGTATCGATGCTGTTTGTAGTTTTTGTTTTTAAATGATATTATTTTCAGTCATAAATGACTGACAGGAGAAACTATCATTTAACTCAGTGTTTCTCCACCCTGGTCCTCAGGCCCCCCTGTCCTCCATGTTTCAGGTGTTTCCCTTCTGCCACCTGGATCGTATCTCTGGGTGATTAACAGGTTTCTGCAGCTCTTGATGGTCATGCAGTCATTTGAATCAGCTGTTCTGGAATAGAGGCTCATCTGAAACATGCAGAGCAGGGGGGCTGAGGACCAGGTGGAGAAACACTGATTTAAAATGAGCAAGTCTGAGCCCTCCTGTTTAACTCGATGAAAACCAGAGACAATGAAAACATTCATCTGAACACGAAGAAGGATTCTGTGGTTCTGTTCAAACCGGTCCAGCAGTGCGTCAGAAGGCAGCTCGTTTGTTTTTATTGTAAATATGACGATTATCTTGTCTGCCCAAATGGTTGGCACAAGACCAAAAACTAAACCAGCGGCTGGAGAGCAACACTCGGTTGTTTCTGAGTTAGGTTTGCCGACAGTCTCTGTTTAAAATGAGAATCAGCCGTTTCCTGTATGCTGATGACTGACAAAATCTTAAGCCAAATTTATTTTGACGAATTCAGAAAGTAAATATGCTTGTTGTGTAATCCATGAGGGCAAGAAATGTGAGTTCATACATTTCTACCAAACGATGAATGAAGTAAGTTTGTGTCATCGATTAGTGTTCAGGTGCAGCAGGTGAACACGGCGTGGAGGAGGATCCCTGCGGGTCACTCTGGGATTAGGATTAGAGCAGATGATGGGGCTGGGCATATGGGAGGGCTAATTGGAGCTAATACAGCAAAATCCCTTTGTCATCATCTAGGTTTAAACAAGATGCATTTAGAAAATGTAAAGTTTTCTGGATCTGAGCTTTATTTTGAAAGGTCAACACAAAGTTTAAGGGCTGGTTTTGTTTGTGAAGCTAAACTTAAATGTGCAATAACTGCTTTATTCAGGTAGGAGGAAACTTCTGGTTTTGGTCTCATTTACCAACAAATTGAAATTATATTAGAAGATAAACTGTCCCAGAAGTTATTGCAATAATATATTTTTAGATGATTTTCAACTAATATGTTAATGCCATAATAAACAAGACCAATAAACTTTTAACATAATGAACATTTAACACTGAAACTGGAAGACATTTTAAATATCCCAAATAATAATAAAAGATAAAACAAATAAAGAAGTACATATAAAAAAAAAGGGCTGGTTGACACCAAAACACCAGACTGAAGACTTTCATCATTCAGTTTTTTATGCTTTTGTGGGGTCAAAATTAAATAAATATATCATGAAATAAATATATGTCTAATTAAATAATGTGCACTTATCTAATTTTTAAAAAATAAATTAATTTAAAAATATGTAATATTTGACTCTTTATCTTTAAAGAAGTAGAGAGAAATGTTTTAGTATAACTTAAGTTATTTGTGAATCCTTGATTCCAACAGATAAAATATGGAACCCTTATTTTGAAGAGTATTTCTGAACTTCATTTATAAATGCCTTGTTTTGTTCCGCCCCCCCACCCCATGTTATTCTGCCCTGGGCCACGCAGGACTTCCCACCGCCTCTGTCTGTTGCATCAGCGGCGTCAGCGGGTATTTAACAGGATGTGGGAGCCGCTCGGTCATTGGCTGCTCGGCATCGGAAGGCCGGGCGGGTTTTACCGACTGAACCGGAGGCTGCATGCCGCTCCGGGATGTTGGCGGCGGACTAGACTCCGCTGCGGAGGGATTTTAATTATCCAATCCGGCAGAACAGACCGCCGGAGCGTCTTCTGATGAGGAAACAACTGTTTTCTGTTTTTATGTCGTTTCCGCTTCCAGCTCTTCACCCGTGATCGCCATGGTGGCGGGAGAGCTCGTGCAGGAGCATCTGCGCGCGGACACCGGCGCACCTGACGACATCACGGTTGTCAGGAAGAGTCCGCAACCGGAGGGCGCACGGCGGCCAGCCGACACCGACTCCTGCTCCGATCCGGCATGTGGTGGGCCCGACCAGCACCGGGACCCGGAGGAGCTGGAGGTGCCGCCGGATGAGAGAGCGGCGATGCTGCCCGGCGCCGGTGGAGGAGAGGCGGAGGAGGCGGGAGGGAGGGCGCCGGAAACCAGGCTGTATCGGTGGCGGTTCGCGGTTCTGGCCGTGTTCAGCCTGTACTCCCTGGTGAACGCCTTCCAGTGGATCCACTACAGCATCATCACCAACGTGTTCACCAGATACTACGGCGTCACCAGCGACAAGGTGGACTGGCTCTCCATCGTCTACATGGTGGCCTACATCCCGCTCATCTTCCCGGCCACCTGGCTGCTGGACCGCCGCGGTCTGCGGCTCACGGCCTTGCTGGGCGCCGGGCTCAACTGCGCAGGCGCCTGGCTCAAGTGCGCCAGCGTCAGCCCCGACCGGTTCGGGGTCACCGTGACGGCGCAGGTCATCTGTTCCGTGGCGCAGGTCTTCATCCTCGGCCTGCCGTCCCGCATCGCCTCGGTGTGGTTCGGACCGCGGGAGGTTTCCACCGCTTGCGCCACCGCCGTGCTGGGGAACCAGGTGAGTGGTGCGCGCGCAGCCACCGCACGTGGGGGGAATGAGATATTTCATCATTCTGAATGTCAGGCGCGCGCACACGATGGCAGCTGCTGTCAATCAACTCTGGGTTTGTCGCAATTAGTCCTGAAGTGACCTCTCCTCACCTGGAGGACAACTTTGTCTGTAGCACACAGATATGAGCTTTATGTACATTATGTTTTGACACAAAAGATTTTTTTCCTCCGCAATTTTAAAGGGGGGTTGGGATAATTTAAAAAAATCCAAAAATGAATCTTTTCTTTATTTTACT